AGCCAGATTCCCAAAAAAATCAAAAATAATATTATTTATTATCACCACAAAAACATATTAATGATCGGCAAATTTCAACAGATTACGAATTAATGATTATAGATGATCTGCACCTTATTATTTTTTCAATGAAAAAGATCTGCATAAAATTTAGCCAATCAATTTTGTTTTGATTTTTTTTCTAGAGTATTTTTAAAATTACACAATGAATCTAATTATTATGGTATTCAGAAATTCTAAATTTGGAAATCTCCCTGACTGTACATATATAAACTCGATAAGTTGGTCACTCAATAAGTCAGTCTCACTATAAGTTGGCCAAAATTTCACCCCATTTTCTTAATATTTAAGTAATTTAATTTGATAAGTCATATGAGTACACCCCACTAAGAATACTGGCTGCAACTTTGATGATGGTTGCTACCACCTTTGTGTCATATAAAAATGATTGCAACCACTGGTTGCAACCACCTTTACAACCATTTTGTTTCCTTTTTTGGGTTGCAACATGGAACACTATTCCATGGTAGACCTAATGTAAATTAACTTCATATTAACTATTTTTGTCTAGGGATAGTCCTAAAACAGATAATATCATGATCACATTACATTGTAACACAATTGTGATGTCAAACAAAAATTATTAACTCCTGAAATCCTTGGTAATACCAATTACAATGTTCCCTTTGACTGGTTTTGTTTAAAGACTAATGCTGTAATCCAAAAAAGGAAAAAGTATGGTTGCAAAAGTGGTTGCAAAGGTAATTGCAACCACTTTTTATATGCCATAAATACAATTACTACTATCATCATAATTTATGGCGCTAGTCTTTAGTTTTGTTGCAGCATGCTGTAGTGATCACAATCATCATATTCATTAAGGGGGTTACACTTATCAAAATCAAGTTATTGACACATAATTTTATGGGATTTTTGGATTTTTGATAAGTGTAACCCCCTTAATGAATATGATGATTGTGAGCCCCATTTTTGAGTGACTACTGCACTGCTTATTGCACAGTATCACACGAACAATTATTCATATTTCTATATTCATATTTCAATAACTTATTCAGCTAATGCAAATATTTACTTTGAATTATTAATTATCATTTTAAAATGCTCAGTTGTCCTAAATATTTATTTAGCATTGATAAGCATATTTTATTGGATAAAATAGAGTAAAGTCATGTTGTTTGTAATACCCCAAGAGGTATAAAAAGACTTGGTTTTAGACCAAGTCTGTACCATCATGTTCTTAACAATCTCTTAATTATTAACCTAATAATTAATATCTTCTAACACTATTGTAATGATATAATTATTGATCTTTAATTAATTCATTAATAAACTACAGAGGGAAACCTTTGCCACACCTAAGGTTGTGGGTGAAATCTCTTTAGTAATTGCTGAAACCATGGCAAAACTATATTAAATCTTATCAAAAATCCTGTCGAAACTATGCCAAAATGGCAAAACCTCAAAATGCAAAACTCAGCTGAAACTCTAATAAACAATTAATGTGTAACTTGCTGAAACCCTGCCAATTGATTTCTGGAGGAGTTTTGACAAGCAACCTTAGCTACACCTAGCAAGTAACCACCACTTTAATTATTGAGACACATCTCAAGGGGACACCTTTAGGATATAATTATTTACATAGAACCTAAGGACCCTTTTATCCAGGAAGATAAAAGCAATTCTTTGACCATAAGTCAGCAAGTAAGCTGTGTGTCATATAAAAGTAATTTTGATCATAAGTCAGCAAGTAGACTGTGTGTCATATAAGGGAATCAACTGTAAGTCAGTGAGTAGGCTGTGTGTTGAACAGAAATTAACCTATTAAATAGGAAACTCAGATTGCACACTCGCAATTTGGTGACAATGACAGGACCAGCCATCAGCATAGTCATCATACTAGTTCAGTAGTTTGTCCAAACAAATCTGTAATTAAAGAATCATAACACTGTAGACCCCAGAAAAAGAAGAAGAAACTTAAGGAATATCAAAGCAAGATTTTAGAAGAATTTGAAGAGTCAGATACAGTAGAAGCCCTTTTCACAATATAAAAAGTTGTGAAAAATACTTAGAATATCTTACTAAAAATGGCTAGTGAGTTTCCTTTTCGGCCTTTTTTTAAAAATCCAATTTTTATTATGAAGATCTGACTGGTGTTTTAATGAGATCGCTGCCCACTTTTGTTAATACCAGTTCAATTATAATTATCTGAGGGCTTAATATAGATGTTTGGTTGAATTTTGTTATTGGACCAGGGTTGGCAAATTGATTGGTCCATTGAAAACAGATGAATTTTGGACTGGTCCATTGCCATTAATAAAATACTAAACATGGTTAAAGTGTTACTCCTGTATTGAATAAAAATAACTTTTTTTGTGTGATTCTATTGGCTGTTATAGATTTTATCAATTTCTTTGCAGATCCAAAAACCAAAATTTTTAAATGATATTGCAAGATAATTCTAATGGGTTAAGGGGACAATAAATTATAATTCTTGTTTGAAAGAATAATATGATATAGATATTGAGGAAGCCCTAAGTATGGTATTTTTTTTTTATTAAACCAAAGAGACATCAAAATATCTATTATAGCACAAATGGTTCAAAATATGCTTAAAAGAAGTGGTTTAAAAGCAGTTTCTAGGAAGAAACCCCCTTTTCTTAAATTACAGCATTAAAAACGATAATTAGGGTTTGCAAAGAGGTACCAATATTGGTTAATTAATGATCATTTTTTCTGATGAAAACTAAAATTAATTGTTTTGGATCCAGTGGTAAAAAATGGTGTTAGAAAAAATCAAGTTTTCCATTTCATGCAGTTATCCTTGACATTCTGAACTGAGTATATTGAAGCCATTATTGTAATAGTAAAGAATGATCCTTTTAATATTATTATTATTACTATTAAACAGATATGATATCTGGAGTGTTATAATTTAAATGGACAAGTATACAGATAAGTATCCAAATATCCATATTAATATCTGAACCCAAGCTCTATATGACAAAGACAAATAATTTGTTGGATTGCTCAAAAAAAGAATGGCAATTGTGCTAACAACTTCAGGTACTAGCATATAGTAATTTGGCATTGAAATTTCTATGTTCACTATTATTTTAATACTACTTCAAATAAACAAAAAAAAATTTTTTTATTATTTCTTTAACCAAATTATTGTAATCAATGAAATCAATCAATTAAATAATCTTTTAATGATTTTCCTTATTTTCTATCTTTAATATTGATATGGGTATGAATAATTTGCCTAAAAAAAATTAAAATCAGTAAAAAAATTATTACAACTAATAATAATAATTGCATTGATGCTTATTTATAGTAATTACTATAAATAACACATACCGTTTGAGCAGTAGTTGCAGCAGTTGGGTAACCTGGATAACCAGTTGCATTCCATTGACCTTGTGCAGCGTAATAATTATTCTGAGCTGCGGCAGTAGTTGGTTGAGCTGCAGCAGCATAAGGTGGTACGGCAGTAGTTGGAGTAGCTATAAGAGAAGAATTATTAGTATTCACACCACCAGCAGCAGCAACATTACTATTATCCACAACACCACCCATTGTTGATGAATGATCTAATCTCATTTGTTTAGTTGGTTTATTATTATCTAATATATCTTCTTCAGATCCACTACGTTTTTTTGAATAATCAATAGTTGTTGTTGTAGACGTAGAAGTACGATTTGAAAGTGGTTGTGTATTAGATTCTATGTCAACTTTGTTATAATCAAATATTGATTTGCCACGTTCCATTAGAAAATCAAGATAACGATTTGATAAATCTCTTATTGTCTCAGGTGGTAAAGTTGACGTGTTACGAATTTGATCAAATAATGATTTTAGGCGAGTCTCTACTTCAGAATCTATTGGAAATTTTTATTAAAAATGATTTTTTCTTTTTTTTTTTTTTTTGAAAAAAACCATCGAAAAAATGAAACTAACCATTTTGTGATATTTCAAAATTAAAATAATTTAACCAAAAATATTTACTATCCAAATATTTTGATGAAGCTTCTTGAAAATTTTGACGTGCTTCTTCAACAGATCCTTTACACTTTTAATTTAAAAAAAGTAAATTTCGAAAATATTTAAAATTCACTCATTATAAAACAGCACTTACATGCCAAATCAATTTTGCGTGTTGTACAGATAAGAAGGCTTTTGATTTGTCATCAAGTTGAGCAGTATTTTCAAGAGAATTTGTTAATATGTTGATAGGTTCTGTTAAATCATCTGGATATTGACGACGTTCAAAATGAGCATATTTCATCAATGTTTCTACGTGTCCCGGTACTTTGTTTTTTTTTTTTTTTTTTGATAAAAAAATTTTACGGGTGATTAAGTACGCGCGTATTGTAATAAATAATGAAAAGCGACAATACTTACATGATTCTATGATCCCTTTATATATTGATCTAGCCTTTTCAATATTGCCTTCTTGTTCTTCAAAGCACGCATATGATAAGCGAATACTTGGGCGACTTTAAATAAAACAATTTTTTTTTTATAATTATGATAATTATAATAAATATTTATATAATGCACTTTTCATCATATATAAATTCTCATAAATGTGTGTACCTTATTGGGACAAAAACAGTTGTGGCTCTTATGTATATATTTCTTGCATCTTCTATTCTATTTTTGGATACCATCCAACGAGCATATTTTTGCCAAAATTCTTCATACAAAGCCTATAATATAAATTAATTAATATATGATGTAAATCATCAAAGATACAACAATCAAATATACATATAAATGTATACATACACATGCAACTAAACATCTTTCATATAGTACTTGTATTCTAGTCTCATCACCTTCACCCTCTTCAAATTCAAGATATCTTCTCCAATTTGACAATTGAATTTCATCCATTGCTTTAACATGAAAATATGGTCTTTTAATCTAACAATAAATAGAAAATGAGCGTTGTATTCAATAAAATCACATATACATAATTAAATGCATATAAGATTTTTTATTACTTCTTGTTCAAAAACCCATCGTTTATTTGTTTCAACTTGTGTTTTCATGTAATTTTCAACATTTATATTATAGATACGTGTTCTTATCTCACTTTGAATTTGTTCCTCGGTCTTGATAAAAAAAAGATTGATTAAAAACAATATCTGACAAATAAATATACTAGTCCTAAATAAATAAATAAATCGGTGTTATACTTTTTCCGTCGGTGGCTGTTCATCTTCAGTACCTTCTGTTGTAGAAGGTTGAGGTGTTGCTTGAGCCTCTGCTATAAATTGCTTTAATTGATCAGGTGGTAAAAGTTCTGATATTGGTCTCGTTCCACATAATTGATTAAATCTATATTATTCAGTAAATATAATATAGATTATATTATATAGTAAATACATATATATATATATATTTATTTAAAACAATTAAAATAAACATCTTACTCGTCAAAAAATTTAGCATATTGATGCATGGGAATACGTATGATCCTATCAAGGATTTTTAAGACACAGTCATAAGCTTCTTTTGATTTTTCAAATTCCAAATATTTCTCCCAAAATAAATGAGATAAAAAGTCATATCCTGCACGAGTTGCACCTCTCTCGAATAACCTGATATTTATTATGTTGTGATGATGATTGTATTATTGTGATGGTGGTGACAATTTGTGTTGTAATTAATTATATATATTTATAAAATTATAAAAAAATTATAATTAGTTTAAAATTTTATAAATATAATTTTTTAAATATTAAATTTTTATATTAAAAAAAAAAAGATAAAAATAACAAATAAAAACAAAATCATAAAAAATTAATATAATAAAAAAAAAATAAAAAAAAATAAACACAGAGCGGCAAAAACTCAAATCTATAACTTAGATTACAATTAGTTAGATTCCTGATTGTTTATTTTTTTAGTTTTATTAATAATGTTGTATAATATTTTCTTCGGTTGGCTGTCATTGATCATATTACTGTGTTATCCTCATTCATCACGATCTCATCACCCTTATTACTGTCTTATCTTTATCTCATCAAAGTTGTCTCATCCTCTTCAACTTCATAATTATCATCACCATCTTCATCATCATCAGTTTCTGTTGTACTTGAATAATAATAAGAACTGTTGTTTTTTTTGTGTTTATTTATGCAATTTCACAATATAACAATAAAAGGAAAAACAGAAAAAAAAGGAATGAAACAACAAAATAAAAAATCATGATAACTTCGCCTTTTGTCCTCATCCTTTTTTCCTGATAATATATATATATATATATAGAGATGATAAATTCTGTCTTTTTTTTGAGAGTTTAAGTAGTAGTAATAATATACATACGTATAATATGTATATATATGCGTGGACAAAATGAAAACAAAAAAACAGACAAAAAACCAACAAAAATAAAAACAAAAACAAAAATAAATAATATAAAAAAATTAAACTTTAGACAGCTTTAACTTACCCTCTAATACCTTCTATATCGTCCGGATAATGCTCAATCTTAAAAGAACAATATTGTGTCCAAAGATCAACTGAATTAGGTATTGCCTCAACACCACGTTCATAAATCTTGTGTAAATAAGATTAATTTTAATTAACCTCTGTCCCAAATATATATATAGACACATACATATATATATATATGTGAGAAATACCTTTTCAGCTTCGAGCGGGCCTTGTATCATAAACTCGAAATCAGCATATTTTTTCCAATATCCAAAACATAATGGAAATTTTGCCAAAAATTGATCGAAAACATTCCTCATGTTTGCAATAGTCTCTTGTGTTGATTGAGGTGTAAGACCCCCATCAGCAGATTCTGCTATTCTAATCAAATATTCCCATGAATTGAAATCCTACCATAACGTTTTACAGAAGAAAAAATTTTTCAATCAGGTTAAATAATAATGTTTCATTATTATTGTAATTTATTGACTAATTAATTGATAATAATTAAAATACATCGGGATTTGTTTTAACGGCTTCCCAATAACGTTCCAATTCAGATTGTTGTGGTTGTGATTCAACCGTGCTAGTATTCTCCTCAGATTGAGCTTGTTGTTCAATTACACCATTTGGTTGTAATGGAACTATATTTATTTTAAATAAATAAATATAAATATAGATTAATTAGCATTTCTAAAACATTTTTAATTTTTCATATTTTCGTTTTTAATTCCATATATTATTAATTGTTTGATAAAGATTTAATCTAAAGCTTTTCAATTTAATAAGAAGGATTTAATAATAGTAATAGTAATAGTAATAGTAATAGTAACAATAATAGTAATAGTAACAATAATAGTAATATGATATAAACAAATCAAACTTAGAAGTAAAGGCCACATTTCCCATAGCCTTTATGAGAGTAGTAAAAGTAGCAGCAGTAGTAATCAAGTAACTATTTATTTTAGATCTAACTACCCAAAACCAATTTGCAAAAGCATACCAATAGATTGATCGGCATTACTATACTGTGAGTATTGTTGTGATGAAGGATTTAAATCTTCTTCTTCATAGGACGCCATCTATTTAATTCTTTAAATGATCTAATATATAATATATAAATATATATATGTGTGTTGTGTGTGTGTAAAAAAAAAGAATAAAAAATCAATTATTTTTATTTATGTTTATGTGATAATTCAAGTAAAAAATGAATTAGATATCACTTAATTTTTATAATATCACAGGGATTGCACATACATAACACGTGCACTTGGGAAATTAACACATGATCAACAACAATATTTTTAACCTCCATATAAGTATAGTATGCATTAGTACTTGTTCAATTTATTATAAAAAACAAGTGAAAACTCAAAGTCCATTCCTCCATATGGAGCACAATCAGTATTTTCAATATTATGGTAAAAAATTTATTATTATTATAGGAACATGAAAGCTGCTGTGCTTTAAAAGGATGTAAATTACCCCAAAAATTTAAATATTTGTAACATATTTTTGAATTTAGGAACATAGCTACAGAGTATTTATAGACGTTATAAAGTTTAAAACTAAAAGTTTCAATATTGAATCTATATTTACACAACTTGAAATTTTTTCATGACTATTAAGATGTCTCAAGCATCAGGACCCTGTAATATTTGGCTTCATATTTAAATCAAATAGATCAAATGGCTTTTCTGGTGCAAATATTGGGGCCAACTATCCAAAAATCGATACCACCCTTTCACACTCTTGTGCAACCTTCTGGTAAGTTGAAACTCTTGTTTTGTTAATAAGGAGCTATGTTAACATGATGGTTGAAACACCCTACTGATAGTAAATGCCAGTGCCTATCAAAGATAGCATTTTTGAAATTTACATCATAAACTGTAAAAGTTATTTTTCCTCCCTCCTGATACTGTTCAATTCAGAATAATGTTGACCATTTATGATGGTTCCAGAAGATAAAATAACATGCATCATAAAATATTCCATTAATCAACCTCTTTAACTCCCCTAACTTAAAGATTATATTACAATTGTGAAATATCCATTTAATCCATAGCTTTGCCATAATTTGTCTTTCCCATCAAGATGAAATGAGGAACTGGAAGACTATGGTTCCTGATTGATTCATTTGTTAACAATTTATTATAATCTTCTTGCACTTTTGATGAAAGGTTACAACTATTATAATACTCTCTCCTATAAGGTTTATCATTGCTAAGTGAGTGGCTATTGAATAAGATGGTATTCACCCAAAGTGATTTTGTTCACCTTTTAAGGGCACAACTTATTTTTCCCCTGTACCAGAAAAAGACCCAATCTATGTCTGGGATTATTGAGGGGTCACTACAGAAATGCTGTTAGACTTCAAAGCATGAATAATATCTGCTTTGCTATCACAATAACCTCCAGGTTTGACATAATGCAGAACTGCTGTAAAATCCTCAAGTTCTGGTTATATACAAAGTTGAAAGCAAGTTTTTTTATCATTTCCTTCCAGTACTCATTAACATTTTGACTTTTGAAACTGGTTTGAAAATTAAGTAAGTCATAATTGCTTGCTTAGTTATGCAATTGTTTTAATTATTGAAGTATCAAGGGAATATCATTGTTTATTCACATACAATGCATTTTATGAATTGCAAGAACCTCAAGCATCCATGTAAAACTCTGTAAAATTATATTTTATAAGAACTTGATTTGCGTGTTTAAACAAAATGTTCTCATACAGCTTCATAAAACCAATTTGCACCATGTTGAGAGCATACACAAATGCTGCCATCTGATCTGTGCTGACATATAAGAAATGAGCTAATCATCTGATAAAAAGGTATGCATTTAGAATCTCTACCAACCTTGGTCTTTCTGTTAATATGGACCCCAAAACTGGTTTGCAATCAACAAGAAAATTATCTCCTCCTAAGGGACCATCCATATATTGATGGACCAAATTTTATCAGTGTATCGTTAGCTAAAGCCATCCCATCAAAAAAAGCACCATCAGTATGTGGGAACAATTCACCTTTAAAATATAATATTAATTAATTAAAAGAATTTGACCCTTGATGGTTCTTCAAGAATGAATATATCATATGTTGGAAAATATCTATTAATTCAATGCCAAATAAAAAAAAAAATCAAAATCAAAATCCCAATCCAATTTAAAAATTCATTAATTTTTGTAAATATTAATTAATCAAAATAACAAACCGATTGGACAATTCTGGTAGATCTTATACTAATGATATTGCAAATAGTACAATCTAAAACACTTTGTTATTACCACCAACAATTGGATTCGCTCAATTCAAACAATTTTTCTTCAAACCAATTTTTAGCAAGCATTGTTAAAAATATTTTCACGCAAGCATTTCTTTACTTTGTTCTGAGAAATGGAGTCTAACCTTTCTTTTATTTGTAAAAATATTAACATTATTTTTTAAAAAAATAACTTGTAGCTTATTAAAAACAAAAAACGCGTTATCATTTATTTTGTTCTTGTCTATGAATGAAAAATCGAATTGAAGGAAGGGTTTGCACCTTATGGCAAAGGGTGAAAAGTTAGCTTTTGATCAAAGGAAAAGAATTTTGGGAAGAAAAGGTTTATTCTGATTCTTACCATGTGATGATGGTAAAAATATATAGTTCATATATGTAAATGTGCACAAATATAAATGATAATAATCATTCATCACCATCATCAATTGTTTCATCAAATAATATATAAAAAAAAAAACTGATTTATGATAAAAATTTATTTATTTATTTACACTTTTTTTTTTTTGTTTATTTTTTTTTTAATATTTAATTTTGAAGAAAAAAATATAAATTATCTTTATCACATTAAATTACATCATATTTAAATTTTTAGTTTCCTGTTTAATATTCTTTATTGTTCTTTTTTTTTATTATTTTATTAAAATAAAGTTCTTTTTTTTTTGAAAAATATTAGTTTATTGAATTTCATAACACACACACAAACCATATACTACATTTATAAAAATTATATAACACTATGAGAATGATAACAGACAACGATATAAACGTAAACAATTATAAAGACAGCAGTAACGATAATGATAATGACAATTGTAATAAACCAGTTCAAGCGTATGCTAAACTTGAAGGTGAAACTGTTTGTTATTATGTTAAAGCGCTTCAAGT